CTCTTAGGTTGTTGGAAAAGGGTGTTCGCTATGACCAGTGTGTTCTCTTGACAAAACTCTGTTAACCTTTGCCCTGCTTCATTTTGCTTTCCAAGGCCAAACTTGTCTGTTATTCCGGTTACCTTTTGACTTCCTACTTTCGCATTCCAGTCCCCTATGATGGGGAGGATATCATTTTTTGGTGTTAGTTCTATGAGGTATTGTAGGTCTTCATAGAACCGGTCCACTTCAGCCTCTTCTGCATCAGTGGTTGGGGCATAGACTTGGATTACTTTGATGTTGAATGGTTTGCCTTGGAATCGGACTGAAATCATTCTGTCATTTTTGAGATTGTATCCCAATACTGACTTTAGCACTCTCTTGATGACTATAAAGGCCACAGCATTTTTTCTATGAGATTCCTGGCCACAGTAGTAGATATAATGGTCTTCTGAGTTAAATTTGCCCATTCCTGTCCACTTTAGTTCACTGATTCCTAAGATATCGATGTTCAGTCTTGCCATCTCATTTTTCACCACGTCAAGCTTACCTTGATTCATAGATCTTACATTCCAGGTTCCTGTGTAGTATTGTTCTTTGCAGCACCAGACTTTCCTTTCACCATCAGACACATCCACAACTGAGCGTCCTTTCGGCTTTGGCCCAGCCGCTTCACTCTTTCTGGGGTTACTTGTACTTGCCCTCTGCTCTTCCCCAGTAGCATATTGGACACCTTCCGACCTAAGGGGCTCATCTTCCGGCGTCATATCTTTTAGCCTTTTGATACTGTCCATGGGGTTTTCTTGGCAAAAATACTGGAGTGGGTTGCCATTTCCTTCTCCAGTGAATCACACTTGGTCTGAGTTCTCTGCTGTGGCTGTCCGTCTTGGGTGGCCCTCCATGGCATAGCCCACAGCCTCATCGAAGCATGCAAGCCCCTTCACCACGACAAGGCAGTGATCCATGAGGGAGAGTGACATCATAGATGTATGTATGTCAGTTCCGGCTCACACATCATTCTCTAATTTCTAGAGCTCCTAAAGCCTTATGTGTGTTATCAAATCCATGTGTTTGCACTTTATGGGAACAGAGCAGAAAAATCAATTTCCACTACAGGAGCTGCATCAGCAAAAGGTAAGGGCAATAGATACTTCAGTCTGTGATTCAGCATAACAGGCTAGTTCTGTTTTCTCAAGAAGATTCTATATTTTGCAGCTGCATTAACTGGACCACATATTGATACAACTGTAAGAGATGGGAGCATATTGGTCTTCTGGACAGAAATTCCAGAAGAGCAGCAAGTGGGCTGTATTGTTAGCTACAAAATATATGTACAGCAGAAATCACCAAGTGTGGACACTGAAGTCTATGGTGAGTCCCTGCTCAAAATTAGGACATTTTATACTGCACGGGATACTAAAAAATGAGAATTCAGCTTTTAAACAGAGAGCAGTAAAATTGTGTTCTGGAATTTATAGGGAAAAATTGAGCTAATATGCTTGAGTGGAAGCTTAAAAACCCAAGGCATTGCAAAGGAAAAAATTAGACATAACTGGTGGGGGACCCATTAGGACTCAGGGAGAGAATTTCCTTCCTTTTAACCTCTCTCTCTCCCTTTTCTCAGCATTCCTTTTTTCTTTGACTCCACTTCCACCCTTCACTCACTTACTCTTTGTGCCCCTCTGTCTTCCTGTTTTTCCAGCCTGGCCCTAGGGGTGCCAACCTCCAGGTGTGAGCTGGGGACCCCCCTGGAATTATAGCTCCTCTCTAGACTACAGAGATCAGTTCCTCTGGAGAAAATGGCTACTTTGGAGGATGGACTCTGTACCACTGTACTGCACTGAGCTCCCTGTCCCTCCCTGGCTCCCCCCCCCCCCCCATCTCCAGGAGTTCCCCAACCTGGATCTGGCCACCTTATGCCCCCCCCCTATTCCCTCCCAATGGCTGTGGGGGGAGGGAGGGAAGGAAAGGCATGGTTTAATGAGGTACTTACAATTGAATTTCAGCTTTGTAATCATGTTTCTCTTCAAGAAGAAACAATAATACCCTTGCATCTTTTTCTTTCTAGACATTCCTAAAGCATCTACACAGCCATTTTCCATTAAAAACGTACAGGCTGGTGTTGCATATATTTTATGGATGACAGCTTCCACCAAGGCTGGAGAGGGTCCTAAAGGGAATGAAAGTAATTATGATACTCTGCTTCTGTAGCTGCTGGGGAAGGACTCAACCAAAGGGTATTTTATGTGGTCTTTGTATCAGAGGTGACATTTCATACTTGAGCTGAAGAATGCAAAGAAATTGTTTTTGGCTCAGGACATATTCAGTAAAGTCCAAATTCTTACCCTTGTTTAAATTCAAGATCAAGTCATTAAAAAAAAGAAAGCAGTCCATTTTAATAGGACATTATTTCCCCCTATACATTTCACAATACTTTTATTACATTTTATTAAATTTCAAAGTCTTAACTTAGGGCCAAACTAGATGTGAAAGGATTCCCATGTTCACCACAGGGATGATGATGCCACTTCAAAATGAGTTTTAAATGCTGCTCTCGGCACAGTGGGATGAGGCACTCTTGTTTCCCACACACACACACATGCGCCTTTCAAAATGCCAGAATGGTACCGTGTACACACAGAGAGAGAGAGAGAGAGAGAGAGCTGTTTTGGCACTTGAAAAGGCGGGGGGGCAGCAGGAGCACCTCAGAAAAGTACCCGGTGGTGTTTTAAATCACTTTAAAATGGCGATGGTGGGCTCGTGGCAGATACAAATATTTAAGAAAGCAAAACATTCAAATATTTCAATCATTAAACAAACACCAGTAAATACTATATGAATCAATAACATTATCAGTATGTATCATAGCAGTTTAGCACAGCCAAAATAATATATGAACCATCAAAAACATGTCAATAGTCTAACACCAATCTATATTATAATGGCAGTACATTGTCTCCTAAGCACTGAAGCACTGAAACACACAGTGACAACCCCCGGCTTTTGAAGTTACTTTATTTACTTACATTATTCATAGTCCGCCTTTCTCACAGGGACTCAAGGCGGATTACAAATAGTGAGTCACTACAATCAACAAAATGGGACATTCAATAATGAATGCATTAGGATATTAGAAGACTGAAAAACATAGCGTAAGTGCTAATATGACACAGTTAGTGGTACCAAAATTACATATTAGGATCCTATTTACAATATGCCTATATACAGCAGGAAAAAGCACAAGTCCTGATCATTTATCCAAGTAGGTTTGCGAAACCATTTTGTACTGCGCAGCCTTTTTAATTCTTAAGTTATTATTTATAATAATTACATTATTATAATTATATATAGTATAATTACATAATTATGAGTATTTGTAAGGCAGCCTCCTTAGCTTAAGAGGGTTACAGATATTCGAATTAATTCTTATTATTCTGTACTAGGCATATATAGTTACCATATCAGGACATATCTACATCATCTTTAAATCAATTTTGTTCTCATGATCAAGAATCTTGGAAATTGTACTTGACAAGGGTGTGGACAATGCCTCCATTTCTGCTCTGAGGAGAGGGAATAAACCTTCAATAGTACAGATGCATAGCATCTGTATATAAACAGTGACTATAAGCAGTGAACTAAGAAATTAATGCAAGAGAAAGAGTGTGGCAGTTTGTCCCCCTACATGGCAGTCCTGTTTTGTATTTTTCATGGGTTGGATCCAGAACTCATTTTTCTGAAACATCCCCCCCCCCAGGAACAGCATTTAGGGGAACTTAAAGGTAAAGGTAAATTGCCCTTGCTCAAAAGCCAGTTGAATCCGACTCTAGGGGGCGGTGCTCATCTCCGTTTCCAAGCCGAAGAGCCAGCGCTGTCCACAGACTTCTCCGTAGTCATGTGGCCAGCATGATTAGTCGTCGAGGCGCACGGAACACTGTTACCTTCCCACCTAAGTGGTACCTATTTATCTACTTGCAATTTCTTGCTTTTGAACTGCTAGGTTGGCAGGAGCTGGAACTAGAGATGGGAGCTCATTCCATCACATGGCACTAGGGGCTCGAACTGCCGAACAACAGACCTTCCGGTCTGCAGCTCAGTGTCTTAACCTCTGAGCCACCTCAGCCCTCTTTAGGGGAACTTAGTGGGCTGCAATGGGATGGGAGAGGCAGGCAAGTCCCATTCTGCTTTGCATAGTTACCATTAGATCCATCTAAGTGCTTTTCCCACAAAGCAGCCTTGCATTTCACCTGGAACTCTTTTTTGGGTTGTTAGTGTCAGCGAGAAAACTCTGCAAGTTTTACTAATCAGATCAAAGATGCTTAAATGATGCATGATTATTTCAGCAATACATCTTAACAGAGCTTACATTTGTTTTAAAAGTACCTGAAGCTTGGGGGGAAATTTGTCTCCTGTTAGAAGGCATTCTGCACATGGACATCTTTACCTGTCATAGTTTTGGCCCTGAAAAGGTGTTTTTGGGAGAACTGCCTATGGGAGTGGGGGTGTTTCAAACGAAACACTATCTAACAAGCATCATTGTATAAAGCATCCCTACAGCTGGAAGGTCATTCGTTTTGCATAAATTAGATTTCTTATTGCTTGCATGACTTGACTTTACTCTGGCAGGTCTTCCATAGGAGTGGGGGTACATCCAGTATATAGAAATGTACATGAGCTATACAGACTGGTAAACTGTTTATTCTGGAAAGCAAACACACATACACACCCTAGCAGCAGCAAATCTCATTTGCATGCTAGAACCAGGGTTAAATCAGAGCATTAGAGGCAAGCATGTTTGATTCTTAACTGTATGTGGGAATTTCTAAGCTTTTCTTGCCACATCTTTTGTTGCCATACATATAACAATTGATTTTGCTCCTTATAAACAGGCCTTGCATTTACCGATGAACCTGGATGGGCTCCTGTTGTAGTCCTTTGCATTATAGGCATTTCCGTGGTGACCTGCTGCGCAGTGTATGCAAGGCTACAGTAAGTGAGCACATTCCTTTCCCTTAGAGTGCATAATTGTGTCAAGTACATAACGAGACACTCTCAGTGTGTATCACAGAACTAGCTCAGAAATGTGCACAGGAAAAAAGGTGTTCAGGTTCAATGTACAGGACCTGCTTCCACTCGTGTCAATGATAAATCCATCTGTTTTTGGCTTGCCCTTCCTTGAAAGAGCTCAGGGCAGCATACATGGTTCTTTCCCATCCCATTTTATCCTCACAACCACCCAAGTTAAGAGAATGCTACTGGCCCGTAATCTAGGGTTGCAAGGTTGCCTGGCTGCCTGCAGAGGGGTGGTGGTGGTGGTGACTAGATCCAGGTTGGGGAACACCTGGAGATTTCAAGGTGGAGCCTGTGAAGGACAGGGACCTCAGTGGGGTACAATACCATAGAGTCCACCCTCCAAAGCATCCATTTTCTCCAGGGGAACTGATCTCTGTAGCTGAAATTCCCGGAGATCCCCAGGTTCCACCTGGAGGTGGCATCCCTAATCACTCAGTGAGCCTTATTGACATGATACATTTTTTCACGTGTGACATGATACATTTCTACATGTGTTTACATTAGTTGGCCCACATTCCCTGCAGCCACACAGCAGGTGCAGGAAACTGCTTCTGTTTTTAGAAAGAGCCCAGATGGGTTCAGAACGGCACTGTAGGGGGAAGGGCTCCTGCCTCCCCACCTAAGTAGCTTTCTTGTGGGAAAACTGAAGTGGGGGTTTATTTTGCTGATTTTGCTGCTCCACAAGACGTATATGTGCATACAAAGCAGGAAGATCAGCAGGGTTGCCAACCTCCAGGTAGCACCTGGAGATCTCCCACTATTATAATTGATCTCCAGATGACCAAGATCAGTTCCCCTGGAGAAAATGGCTGCTTTGGAGCGCAGACATGATGGCATTATATCCTGTTGTGGTCCCTCCCTCCCCAGGCTCTACTCCCCAAATCTCCAGCTATTTCCCAGCCCAGAGATGGCAACCCTATCAGTGACATAACTCCTCCCCCATGCAGTTTTTGCATGAGAAAACTATTTGTGGGGGAGGCAGAAACCCTAACCCTCCAAGCCTATTTAGGCTCTTGTTCCCTGCAGCTGCTGTGTGGCTGTGGGGAACACACAGGCAAATTAGTATAAACAAAATGTAGCTCGCCTCTGAATGAGTACTTAGACGAAGATCTGGAGACCTCAGTTCAACACACCAGCCACTTCTAATAAGGCCTTAAGGAAAAGCCTCTGAAGAAACAAAGAATCTTGTTCTGTGCCAAGTAACCTATGAATGCAATTTTCATCTGTCAGGAATTCTGTCATCTTTTACGAAGTTAGGTTGATCAGTTTAATCACTGAAGAAGAGTTGGCCATGCTGTCGCTCATAAGAAATCAGTGGGATAGATCTACCCCCTAACTGAACCGTTTCTTATTTTTAATGTATTTGTTAAAATATTTTTATCCAGATTTCCTTTTGGTTCAAGTCTGAAGGCTTCCTCCAAACTAAGAAAGCTTATTCCAGATTAAATGGTTTTACCATTGGAAGAAGAGCCACTTAAGCTGGAGGAAGGTTACTTGGAGGATGGTTAGATCTATCCAAATAACTCCTGGCAGTTCAAGTCAATAGAAATAAAAGAACAGACCTTATGTTGGGACTCTGGATTCCTCCTCCTTCTGTAGTTACTGAACTTAGAACTTCAAAGATGTACTTTGCATGAGCAGGTTTTTGGGGAGCATTCCAACGGGAAGTTTAAGCATATATTGTTCTGTTCCACTTTCTGCTAGGGGTTTCTCACTCTTTTCTGTTCACATCCATAGACAGTACAATAAAGCTATTCCAGATCCTGCCAATTCTTCATGGGCTAAAAAAATCACATCTGTGGAGGTAAGCCTGGAATCTCTAATACAATTATCTTAGCTGACTCACTGGTTTCTCTATATTAAAAATGCAGATTTGCTGAAGAAGCTGAGGGGGGGGGGGATGTTTGCAGCAAACAGGGTGTGGATTGCAGGCTCATATTTGCAAGTCTTCCTCCTGTTAAAAGTCATTTTGTTCAAAAGGCAATTTTCCAGGATGAAATATTTTTTCTTGTAATTTCCTCTTGTTACCTGCTAGAAGTTGTGTGGGTTGAGCACTAAAAGAGCTTTTTTTTTTTTTTTTTTTAAACATATACATCCTGGCAGTGTTTATAAAGCACTGGCTTCTATGCAAAGGAAAAAGGTTTCTTTTGAGCAAGATACATACTTATTCATGCATGATCACTGTACTGGTGTTTCTCTGTCTCTCATTAAGAATGAGCTGAGTTCATATTCCAGCCAGTTCCTAAATAATCTAGACAACTTGGAAGAGCCTGAAACTCTACAAATAAAAGAAGTCTTGATAAAAAGACAGTCCCGTGGTTTTGAGGACGTGCTGTTCTCAGAAAGAATAGAGACGATGGAAAGCCACACATGGCCAGCTGAGAGGTTCCAAGAAGAAAATCCCACCATGGACAAGTTAAACCACCACCTTTTGATTAGTGACACGCTAGATCAGCACCAGTTACTCTTCTTATACAAGAAAGTTGCACCTGAAGAACCAAATCAGGGCCAGGTATTTTCTGACTACCTTGTCAACCCCCTTGAAGATACAACGCTAGACTATTTGCCTTCAACCATTCTGCCCACCATTACAAACACAGCAGAAGTCAGCAGTGAAGCAGAGTTCAATTCATTTAATATTTTCTCAAGAACTTTTCTGCCCCAGACATTTTCTCTCGGTGGAAAGCTTACTCTAGATGCCATAAAAATGGATTGTAATTCTTTCACAGATTAAGCTGTCAAGAATCCATGTCATCTTGCCTCCATTCCTGCAGCCCAAAAATATTCTTGGTACAAAAACATTTTATTGAAATTCAGCAAGGTGAATAGAGGCACCATTGCACTTCACAATGTCTTGGTACCCACTTGCTTCTTGAGTCCTGAGAATAAAATCCAAAGAGCCTTGGACAGGGAGCTTTAAGTCACTCCCTAGTACCCCTTAACTGGCTAGCAAAGCACTGAACTCATTGTGTTATCCAAGTTAGTTCCTCTGTTGGGTCTGTCATGCAAAGGTTGTCCCCTTTTTCACAGGAAGAATCTCACAAAGCATACATTGGGTAAATTACAGAACCTTTTTGCCTCTGTTTTGCATGGCTCCCAGTTTTGATAGAGTAAATCTTCCAGGAAGAAAAAGAGGGAAGAGACATGGATGCTTAAATAGAAAGTACTTTTATTAACCCAATACATGGGGAAATCAGCATGAAAGGAGCAACAAGTCACGAAAACCGGTAAAATCCTGTCACTTTGTACAAGCCTAATATTCAGCTGCAGCATTTTAAAAGTAAATACCCTGTTGACATTACCTGAGTGCAGGGGTGACCAAACTGTGGCTCAGGAGCTGCATGCAGCTCATTCACACATATTGTGTGGCTCCTGGCAGGGCAGCTGGGAAGCGAAGGGGAGGCATCCCTCCCCTATCAGTCTTCCCTTCCCCAGCCAATGTTCCCCTCCCTGGGTAGGCTTGATGGTGGGGGGGGGGCGAGAAAGAAAGCAAATTTAACTTTATATGTGTTCTCAAAGACCCCCCTCTGCTGGCCAGCTTGGAGAAGGCTTTTGTCTCTTTAATCCCATCTCCAAGCTAAACTGGAGGGGGGGGTTGGGGGGGGAGTTTGGAGAACAGATTTAAAGTTGCTTTCTTTCCACCTCCCCCTTCCTTCCTTCCTCCCCATTTATTTGCTTTCCACTTCTCTCTTTCTCTTTCCCCCTTCCTCCATTTGCTCTCTTTCCACCTCTTTCTTTCTTTTCACTTTTTCTTTTCCTTTCCTTCCTTCTCTCTTCCTCCCTCCATTTATTTGCTTTCTTTCTTACTCTCTCCCTCCCTCCCCCATATATTTGCTTTCTGTTTCTCTCTCCTTTCTTTCCACCACTTTCATTCTTTCCATCTTTCTCTTTCTTCCTCCTCCCTATTTGTTTTCTTTTTCTTTCCCCCCTACCTCCCCATCTATTTGCTTTCTTTCCACCTTTCTTTCTTTCTCTTTTTCCCCTTCTCTTCCTTCCTTCCTCCCCCCATCTATTTGCTTTGTTTCTCTGTTTCTTTCCACGTCTTTCATTCTTTCTTTCCACCTCTCTCTATGTCTCTCTTTCTCTTAGATAAATATCATTAGCAAACAAATAAATATCATTGGACAAATAAATATTATCAATATCTGTTTTACCCCTTTTGTTTTTATTGTTGACGGTCTCATTTTATGTTAATAAAAAGCAAACTTGCATATTTTCAATAAAAACATGTGTGTAATATTTGTTCATGTCTTGCGGCTCTCAGATATCTAACGTTTATTTTATGTGCCTCTTACGTTATGCAAATTTGGCCACCCCTGCTGTAGTGTAAGCTGTGTTTCTCCAAGAGGCAATGTCAAACCTGGGAAGGGGAACTGAGAACATTTAAATGCTGTTTGTGCTTACTGATTGTGCTCAAATAAAGTCAGATACTTATGCAAAGTAATAACCTAAAATGTGTAACAAGCAGCTAAATTCTTTGTCCAGTACAATTTTTTTCAGATTGACATTTTCTCATAATCTTTCTTCCTACTGCCAGATGCAAGGTTCATGGCCTCATGGGGGCCCCCGGGGGGGGGGGGGGAGAGATGTGAGAAACCAGTAGAAGATCTCATTCATTCGCCCCCTCAATGATACTCTGTGACCTGGGGCACTTGAGCAGGCTGATTTATCCCCCACTCGCCTTAATTAATTAACCATGAGCTACTCTCAACATTCTGTCACTTCTGGAGCCTATGTAGCCCTCATTGGGCTGGTTTGAAAGTATCCCCTCTTAGTTTAGAGCAGACATCCCCAGTGTGGTTTATGCTATATTACTATTGAAGCCTCACAGCAGGAACTGGATGTCAGAGAGCATTTGGGGCTGTTCCAGGAAAGGGAATCTGAACATTCTGCCAGTAAAACCTCTTGAACCTATGAAAATGCTGCAGTAGGTTCAACCCACTACCATGTTCAGAGAAAAACAGGTTGCTTACCTGTAACTGATGATCTTCGAGTGGTCATCTGTGCATTCACACCCATGGGATTCAGTGCACGCACGCTGGATTGATCGGTGCTGTAGCAAGCTCTTTTAACGGATTTTCGTGCCCAGTCCCTCGGGCATGTGCAGGAACCCCACTGTGCATGCCCAGAGGGGTGGGCATGGACATCCCGCCAGTTCCTTCAAACTGCTGCAAATCAACCCCTATTAGAAATGTAGAAGCTGACAGCAGCGGGGAAGGAGGGCGGGTGGTGTGAATGCACAGATGACCACTCGAAGATAATCAGTTACAGGTAAGCAACCTGTTTATCTTCGACGTGGTCTCTGTGCTTCACACCCATGAGAGATTAGCGAGCAGTAGCCTACCTGGAGGAAGGTGCTGGCAGGTCTTTTACTGCGTAGCTGAAGACAGAATGTGACGTCCCATGCTGGTATTGGTGTTCATACGGACGCCTAGGGCGTAGTGCCTTATGAAGGTATTAGGCGTGGCCCACGTAGCGGCTTTGCAAATGTCCATCAGTGGCACTCCCTGGAGGAAGGCAGTGGAAGTCGCGACAGCCCTGGTAGAATGAGCCCTGATAGGACCAGGCAATGGCTGTTTGGCGATCTGGTAACACAGACGGATGAGACCCACAATCCACTTTGACAGGCGCTGGGCCGTGATGCGAGTGCCCAGACGTGCTGACGTGTAAGAGATGAACAGTTGTCAA